TAATTAATTAAAGTATGGAGTTACCGAATTAAATTTATTATAAATTAATTGGGAAAAGCAAGTTGTGGGCCTACACACAACTTGGCATACCGACACTAATAAATTAGGATAAGCTAAAGTACACTATGGTTAATTTTGAACGTTTTTGTCATAACTCAACTGATAAGAATGAAATAAAAGAAAGAAAAATTACCGCATAAATTAAAAATTAGATCATGATATTAATTTCTTATCATTTTTACTATTTCACTTCTTTGTGAATGAAATACTTGAAAAAAAAACTTCAAAATAATTTTTAAGTTGAATGAAAAATTAATTCTAAATTTGAAATGTGCGAATACGAAGTAGAGTTTTTATACATTAAATTAAGTTTAAGTAGCTCAAAATTTGATAATAATAAAAAATGGACAAGTTCGTACATTTAGACATTCCCTCTACTTGTCAACTCTGTTTTGATCGTCTTGTCTGGTGTTTGTTCCACACCAGACAAGTCTCGAAAGGTGTATTTAGACATGTAAACCTCATGGTGATGTTCATAAACATCTATAAATACACTATGAATGTCATATCATTATTCACTTGAATTTTAAGAGTTTTATACATTATTTGAAAGGTGTATTTAGACATGTAAACCTCATGGTGATGTTCATAAACATCTATAAATACACTACGAATGTCATATTATTATTCACTTGAATTTTAAGAGTTTTATACATTATTTTTCACCAAGTTCGTACAATATCTTGTATTCTTTATGTTTTTTAATAGTGAGAGCTCCAAAAAAAAAAAAAATGATACGAAAGAGAGAAAGTGAATTCGGAAAATTATCATCTCAATCAGATGATACAACTCTCTATAAACCCAGAATATATACACAAAATTAGGGCTACGTATAACCTAAGGCTAATATGGGAAATACACAAATTATACACAATAACACCCCCCTCAAGTTAGAGCATGTGGATTTCGAATGCCCAACTTGCCAAGAAAGAAATCAAATTCACGTTTCCCAAGCGCCTTGGTGAAGATGTCAGCGAGCTGTGCCCCAGAAGGAACATGAGTAGTATAAATGAGACCCTGAAGAACAACATCTCGAACAAAGTGGCAATCCACCTCAATGTGCTTAGTGCGCTCGTGAAAAACCGGATTAGCCGCAATATGCAGTGCAGACTGACGGTCACAGTGTAACCGCATAGGCTGAGAGTGAGCGACACCAAGAGTAGATAACAGCC